TTATTGACTTTAGAGAGAGGAAGGGAGAGGGCGCGAGAAACATCATTGATGAGAGTCCTCATTGATCAGCTGCCTCCTGCACGCCCCTGACTAGGAATCGAGCCCACAACCCTGCATGTGCCCTGACCAGGAATTGAACCACGATCTCCTGGATCCTAGGTCAATACTCAACCACTGAGCCGTGCCCAGCTGGGCAAGAAGCTATGTTTTTAAGTTTTCCGAACGTTTTAACATTGCTTTTCAAACAGCATTCCAGCTAGCAGTCTTAACAATATACGGTATACTGCTTCTACGCCTTAATTTTCAGTCTGGGACAGCATTTGTTACCTTCCTGATAGATTTTATTATTACTTTTAATAAATCTATTATTTTAATAATGGAATGGGTTATTTCACTTTTTTAAAGTTAAATACGTTTTTATTGATTTCATAGAGAGGACGGGAACGGGGGAGAGGGAGATAGAGAAAGCAACATTGATCAGCTGCCTCCTGCACCCCCCCGCTGAGGATCAAGCCTGCAACCCCGCCATGTGCCCTGACCAGGAATCGAACTGGCAGACTTGCAGTGCACAGGATGACGCCCAGCCAACTGAGACACACCGGCCAGGGCTTATTTCTCAACATTTCTGAGTGCATAGTAGATCTTTGGTAACTAAGTTGTTACATAAAATTAGTTTTGTTTGGGATTATAATTTGGGGATGTGTGATGGACCTGTCTCCAAAACTGTAAAGGAACCGTGCTAAGATAGGTTCTACAGGAGCTCAAGATCTGTACTATGGACGGATGGACGGATGGATTACTCCTCCTTCCTTTGTTGTTACTACCTAAGAACTGGAGAGGTTGAGGGAGTTGAAGTAAAGGAAGTTGGCAAAATTACAGGTAAAGCCCTAGCATGTGAAGATGTAGGATTCTTCCCAAAATGACCAGAAGATGGTTTCCTGCGAGATTTGACACTAAATTAATTGTGTCTGTAGGTTTTCTAATCAATGGGTTGGTCATTGTCTAGTGGTTTCAAAGAACAAACCATTAGAATTGTAACTTTTATCACAGCTTTTTAAAAAATACAGTGTTGACCTATTACAGCATAAGCTTAATTTTCTTTATGCTTTTGTTTCAAGGTCACCATGATGTGACCTTGGCCTTTGTTATTTTAACTAACTTTACTTTGTTCAGCTTGTGGGCAGCTTCCTGAGAAGGGGCTTTTAGCATGCTTGTTTAGTTCAGATCTACTTGTTAAATACAGATGACAGTCACCTCTGTACAGGAGGAAGTTCTCAAATTTTTTTTTAATTAACAATTTCTTGTTAGTTTGTTTTTCTAAACCCTCACCCAAGGATGTTTTTTCCATTGCTTTTCAGAGAGAGTGGAAGCGGGGAGAGAGAAACATAGAGAGACACATCTGATTGGTTGCCTCCTGTATGTGCCGCGACCTGGCCCGGGATCCAGCCTGCAACCGAGGTATGTGCCCTTGATGGGAATAGAACCCGGACCCTTCCGTCCACAGGCCGATGCTCTTAACCACTGGCAAACCGGTTAGGGCCTCATTCTTGATTATATACACATAATTTTGCATAGATTTAGTACTTTCAGAGGATATTTCATGATTGTAAAAGTTTTTATGCTTGTGCTCTTTACATTACAGGGCTTGCATAGTTAACCACATCATGAGTGCCTCTGGCTTTCTACTGAGGTTTACACGGGAGTGGATCCCATCCTTTAGAATTTCTTTTGACTGAGATACTCAAAGCTCCACTCCTTTTTTCAGGTCGCTCAGTGTGGCCTCTTCAATGGGTTTTCCTAAACTCGGGGCTGGCTCACATTTCATGCCACTGGAACCCCTGAGCCAAAGTTTTTGAAAGCTTGGCTACCTGATTGAAAACTGAGGGGAGAGAATGATACAGGGAAAACAGTTTTCAGAACTCAGCTTGCTCCAGGAGGGCATACAGTGAGTGTCAAGTGTCAGTGGTTGCTTGGACTTGAAGTGACTTGAAAAAAACTTCATGAGAGATGAGACTTGAACGGAGCCTTACGGGGTGGGTAGGATTCACCAGAAGTAGTATGTGTTTCTCAGGTATGGCCTCATGTGGATGCTGTTGAGGGTGGTGCGCGTGTCTGGGGTGTGTATGTTCTGTTTGGGCTGAGTGTGTGTGTGTGTTGGGGGAGAGGAGTTGAATTCAGGCTGCTTCTGAAGAGCTTCAGAAAGAGCGCCTGTTAGAATGATTCTGAGAACCATGGCCTGGGTGGATTTAGGAGGGAAGGCGCTTAGGTGGCTATTACTGGATTCTAACCTGGCCGGGACTGGGTGGCCTGCTGTTGGAATGGGAAGAGCTGATTGGACAGAGGCTGCTAGAGACTGCCTGTGGGGAGGAGGCAGAGTTCAGGATGATTGTGAGTTTAAGCTGGGGGCAGGGGGGTTCATGGTCTTCTTAATGGAAACGAGAGGTCAGGATGGGGGTTTGTTGTGAGAGGAAGATAAGGGTTTAGTATAGGATGTGATAAGCCGTTGGGGCCTGAAGGGAGGTCAGATTGTAGATGGAGGGTTCACCATATCATCCGTCTTCAGGGCCTCGGTTGAGACCAGTTGTTTTTTCTGTTGACTTGTTAGGAAGGCAGTGATGTAGAAAGATGCTGCAGAGAAAAGAGGAAATGGCTGGGATTTTGGCTTAAGAGTTAAGTAGTACTTTATATTTATATAAATATTATAATTCAGAATGAATTACCTTTTAATGTTTTAACAGAACCTGAAAATTCAACATGTTTGGAATATTCTTTTAGTTTTTAGCTTCATCTATATTCCCGAGGTGCTTTTCGAGCATTTATAAATCTCTACAGAATTGCATTAATACTTACATCAACAATTATATTAATATTCATATTACTAAATATAGACTTATATTAGTAAAGCTAGTTTAGAACCTTAAGGACTGATAATAGTCCTTTCTTTGGATAACTTGCCCTGTGGAACTGGCAGCTGAGCTCTGTCAGCTTGTATCTGTTGGAGTTTGCACTTGAGGGTCCTTCACTTCTCCAGTTCTCTCAGGGTTTTAGTAGGCGGTGGGGGGAACTTGTAGTACAGCTACTACTTTGGGGAATAGACTTCAGTATAGGTATATATCTTATACAGTGTTTAGTAATGCTTCACAAATATGGTCTAATTAATTCATTATTAAGCATGACAATATAAAAGATGTTCAGTGACTAGCCCCTCCCGTTCCCCCACCCATTAATCCGTATGCCCATAATACTTTGTGCTTTTATTATTATTTGAGCTGGGAGGGATATAATCCAAAGCAGTTGGGAATTTAATCCTGGAAAATGGTTGGTGCGCTTGGAGACGTCATTCCGTCTGTTTGCGGCAGAGCTTGATGCACACATGGACTCGGCTTTGCTTTACAGGATGGGAGCTGTTGGAATAGTATGTTTTTTAAGAGTAGCAGTTGTGTCGGTTCCCCTTAAATAAGGTACAGATTGTGCAGATTTTATTGTTGCTTTATTGTACCAATTAATTGAAGTATGATTCATTGGATAGAATTGGGAATCTGTGTTAATGTAAGATCAGACTTGTAAATTAAATTTACTCTGGCATATGAATATATCTTAATTTAAAAGATACCTAGTAACGTGTTTGTGTGTGTGTTGTGTTTTTTTTTTCCAGTGTGCAATACTAATAGAGCTGGTTGCTATTAAAGATGATTTTATGGCCCTGGCTGGTTTGGCTCAGTGGTTAGAGTGTCGGCCAGTGGACTAAAGGGTCTCGGGTTCGATTTTGGCCAAGGGCACATATCTGGGTTGCAGGCTCAGTCCCTGGCCCCCGTCAGGGTGAGTGCAGGAGGCAACCAATTGATGTGTCTCTCTCTCCCCCACTTCCACTCTCTGAAAAACAATGGAAAAAATGTCCTCGGGTGAGGGTTAAAAAACAGATTTTATGTCCTTTTAGCGATGTTTGACATCTGGAAGAAAAAGTGTACTTAGTGCTAATTTCATCTCAATAATGCAAAACCACATAGTTGAGCTGTTGTCGTCTTTACTCTTACGTTCCATTTACTGATTACCACCCGTATAAATGGCTCTCTCAAGTAGTCCTCCCCAGTGGATTTTAGCTTTCCGTCACCACAAAGCAGTATTGCTACAAAGTTCCAGTTTCCCATCGAGGATACTGTGTACATCATTATCTAATAGAATGCCCTGCCTTAACCCTGTGAGCTTGGTTTTGAGATCGCGTCCTTGGATTTTGGGGAGGGATCAGCTATTTACTAGACACATGTGACAGGGATTCCTCATTTTCTGTGCCATACTCTTTTGTGTTTTGTCAGACATGGACATTTGAATATGTTATGCTGGCACACTTGTTCCCTGGAGGTTAGCTAAGATAATGTAAGGCTCTGTTTAGTTGAGCCTACAGACATCACAGTGAGATATAGTCAAAGGATGCTTGGATTTTTGAATGTGAATATTGTAAATATTGAAATTACTTATAGTAGCCATGGATATGTTTCTTAGGTCATTTGCTCTTGTCATTGCAAGTTTCTACTTGTTCACTTTAATTTCCAGTAGCATGAGCAGCAGTTTATTTTATTCCTGAGAAACTAAAGGAAGAAACTGCCTAATTAATATGAAAACTGCCATTAAATCTCGATTTGTCCATTTTAGGGATGCTCTCATGATTATAGTTCCCTGACCGTCAATACACTTTTCACATTGTGTGTAATCAGTGTGCAAACTAAATTTAAAACTCTAAGAAGGTTAATATAAGTTAGCTGGGTCAGGAAAAAATCATAGTTGTTGAAGAAGAAAAAGACTTAAAACTAAATACAGCCCGCCCGGCGTGGTTCAGCAGTGGATCATCGACCTAGGATCCAGCAGATCTTGGTCGCTCCCCGGTCAGGGGCATGCAGAGGGGGCAGATCAGTGACTCTCCCATCATTGATGTCTCTCTCTCCCCCACTCCCTCCTCTCTCTGAAATCAGTAAAGATATATATTTCTAAAAACCAACAAAAAACTAAGTATAAACAAATTTTTGTTTGTTTGTTTTAACTTACTTGGTCTATAGCAGCTTTCCCCCTTCAGTAATAACGAGCAGCGCAGGTGGGAGCTGACTTAGCACTACTAAGTTAATAGTAACATGCTTATTCGTGCACACGTGTTTAAGGTTTCATAGAGAAATGCCTTTCCATTGTGTAATTTCAGCAGCCCAGTCAGCTACTTTTATTGCTGTGTTATATTAAAATACTAAATATAGTACATTATTTAAATAAATGAGTAGGATTAAAATAGAGAATTGATTAAAATACAGCCTTTAAAAAATATTTTTGGATAAAGTAGCAGGGTCCAAGTGAAATTCAGTCTTGGTTTCCTTTACAGGGATAGAGCTATTCACAGTCAGACGACTTACACGTTTTGCAGGATCTCCTGAGGAAGGCAGACTCTGAACCAGCATGAAGACTGAATCTTGTGTTTGGTCTTGATTTATAAACCAAACTTTTATTCTAATCATGTGCGAAGTGGAGGTCCTACCATGGAAACCAAAATCTTAGTTAAGTGATTTTTATTTTAGCTATTAAGTAGTAGCTTTTCCGACAGTGAATTTGTCCCCTTAACAGTTCACACTACAGATGGAGTGAGGTTGGCCAGCAGGGACACACACTTATAATCCCCGAGGGGGGCTGCTTTCCTCTGTCTAGGATTTCTTTTACTTTTCTGCTTAAAAATAGGTGGAGGCGATATTAATTCAGCTGAGAAGGGATTTAAGAAAACGGAGAGGCTGGCTTTAGTTACCAGTGCCTAAATTCAGACCATTAAAGTCATTATTGAATTTGCCGTGTAAGTTGTTTCATTTATAAATTACTTGTTATTAAATAATGTCTTCATTACAGTGTAGTGTTAGTAAGCCCAGTGTAGAACCCCAGGAAACTTAAATAGTGACCATGTTTTTAATATAAATTGAATATTGAGTATATTTTAAATATTGCCTATTGTGAGTCTGAATATTCACAGTTGCAGTGGAGGGATGCGCTAGTAGCGATCTCAGGGACTGTCCATCGATCCTGTTGTCCCAGGTAGAGGTGATTTGCAGCTTTGGCCAGAACTAGCCTGCGAGGATGTATGCGCTGGCTGGCGGCCTTTCTCTCGGTGTCACTGTGTTAAAGTGTAAGGATTACTCCTCGGCACCTTCCTTTCTCCCCCGCGCTTGTTCAGAGCAGTGGGTGGTTAGCACTGTCGGGCTGCTTGTCTCTGAGCGGGAACGATCGGATGGACTTGATCTAAATTCTCCAGTACGTCGAGCGTCATGACGCTGTCCTCGACGGCAGGCTCGCCTGTGCTGTTCATAATCTAGAATGGTTGTGTGTTTAAGACATTTAGCATGTGTTCTTTTCCTTCCCGTTGAGTCTTTTAAATGTTGGCTCTTTTTCTACATTGATGGTGATGACTGGCTGAAGTGAAGGGTTTCTGTTAGCGGCTTCCCTGCTTTAAGCCCCTTCCGCGGTGCAGCAGACCTCTCTCGCATTCTGGAACACAGTTGGCATTGACTCCCAGGAGATCTGAGGTTTTTCTTTGGGAATTTATCTCCAGTGTCTGTGAAAGGAAAAAAAATAAGGGTAGTTCAATATGAAATCTTAATGCATCTTTTGAAAAATTTACATTTTGTAAGTGAAAGCATACTGTTATTTTGGGGGCGTATTTTCAGAGGTGGAATTACGTAGTCAGTGTTTTAATAACCATGTCCTAATTATTTATAGCTTCCTGCTTGACATAACTCACTTCAAGAAGTGCACGATGTCAGAACGTGGAATTAAGTGGGCCTGTGAATATTGCACGTATGAAAACTGGCCGTCTGCAATCAAGTGCACCATGTGTCGCGCCCCAAGACCTAGTGGAACTATTATCACAGAAGATCCATTTAAAAGTGGTTCAAGTGACGTTGGTCGAGATTGGGACCCTTCCAGCACTGAAGGCGGAAGTAGTCCTTTGATATGCCCAGACTCGAGTGCGAGGCCAAGGGTTAAGTCTTCGTACAGCGTGGAAAATGCAAACAAATGGTCGTGCCACATGTGCACGTACTTGAACTGGCCGCGAGCAATCAGGTGTACCCAGTGCTTATCCCAGCGTAGGACCAGGAGTCCCACAGAGTCTCCTCAATCCTCAGGGTCTGGCTCAAGACCCGTTGCTTTTTCTGTTGATCCTTGTGAGGAGTACAACGACCGGAATAAACTGAACACGAGGACCCAGCATTGGACTTGCTCTATTTGCACATATGAAAACTGGGCCAAGGCTAAGAAATGTGTTGTTTGCGATCATCCCAGACCTAATAATATTGAAGCCATTGAGTTGGCAGAGACTGAAGAGGCTTCCTCAATAATAAACGAGCAAGACAGAGCTCGATGGAGGGGAAGCTGCAGCAGTAGTAACAGCCAAAGAAGATCACCTCCTTCTACGAAACGGGACTCGGAGATGAAGATGGATTTTCAGAGGATTGAACTGGCGGGTGCTGTAGGCAGCAAGGAGGAACTTGAAGTGGACTTTAAAAAACTAAAGCAAATTAAAAACAGGATGAAAAAGACTGATTGGCTCTTCCTCAATGCCTGTGTGGGTAAGTGTCTGCATTTTATTGAATGGGATGGGGAAAAACAGTGAAAATAACACCCAAGACAAGCAAGGTCAGTGTTACTTAGCACTTAGTTCACTCAGCGTGATCACACACTCTCAGTGTGCACTCAAAAGAGTCAGGTCTTGTTACAGCTTCATCCTAAGTTGCCTCCATTTCGTTGTGTGTGTGTCTTCATCAGTAGGGAGGAAAACTTCTAAGTTAAAGCAAAGATTTATACACGTCAGTAGTAAAATACATGCCTGGGTTTAAAACTGCTAACAAGATGTGACTGAGGGACGTCAGCTGCTGCTGCGGGTTTGTAAACAGGGCGAGCACCTTGTGATGGTGGGAGCTTTAGTCAGATGTTAAAAATATCACAAAAATGTGTGACTCCAAGAAGTCGGACAAACATAATCTTGACCTTGAAAATACTGACGTTAATTAACAGGAATGCCACGTAGTAAATACGTGCACACTTTATGAAACTGGTTGCTCAAGGCCAGCTGACTCCATAGTCGGCTGTGCTCTGCCTGTTTTGTGGTCTAGTGCTTTTCTGAGGAAGTTCTGGGTATTGGTCCCAGCCACTCGCTCAGCTGTGGAAGGACAGGCATGTTGTGAGTTAATCGTTGGTGATGTAATTCACAAAAGCAGTTATTTGACTCTTCCATATTTTCTTTTTCTTTTTTTGATTCTCACCTGAGGATACGTTTGTTGATTTTTAGAGAGCGAAAGAAACATTGATGTGAGAGAGGAACATTGATCAGTTGTCTGCTGTGTGCACCCCGACTGGGGATTGAACCCACAACTTTTTTGGTGAGGGCTCGTATTTCTCTGCTTTTTATTTTTTTATTTTTAAATAGGTTAGTTATTTGAATTTGATTTTGATTATTTGGATGTGGTGCTTACTGTGACATTCAGTTTTGTAAAGGAAGTGTTGAGTGCCTACTAAAGGTAAATACCTTGTGGAGCAGTAGTTAAGCTTTAAACATGGCTTAGCTGTATATACGGGGTGTCCCCAAAATATGTATACACACTTTGAATGATTATAAAATCAATGTTTATTAGCATTCAGTTCATTTTCAAAATTTAAAAGAATCTAAGAAAATGAGTAATTTTTTTTGTCAACGCGTTTCAAACTGTTGACCGTTCTGGTCCAGGCCTTGCTGATAACGGGAAATACTGGAATCACAGACATCAAGGATCATTCCGTTTGGTATTTGTGTGCCTTCAGTGCATCAACTGTTGCCAGTTTTGTGCCGTAAACTTTATCTTTTATGTGTCCCCATAAAAAATGTCTGGTGCCACTTTAGGATAAATTTTCTTTGTTCAAAGCTTAGTCTGGCTTCACCCATTATTTCAAATCAGTTAAACCTGAAAAGGAGTGAAAATTGAGTTATCAGCTGTTAAAATGTTTTTTGGGACACCCTATATGTTTTTCCCCAGTATTTCTTTTTTAAAAAAATATACATTTTATTGATTTTTAGAGAGAGGGGAATGGAGAGGGAGAGAGACATCAATGATGAGAGGGAGTCATTGATCAGTTGCCTCCTGCACATCCCTCTACTGAGGATTGAGCCCACAGCCTGGGCCTGTGCTCTGACTGGGAATCGAACCAATGACCTCTTGGTACACAGGACGACTCTCAATCCACTGAGCCACTCCAGCCGGGCCCCAGTATTAATTTATTTTGTTTATCCCGCTGAGTATAGCCCCAAGAATATGGAGGGCGTGACTATATGAACATGCAAGTCCTAAGAGGAAATTTCAGAAAACGTCGGAGTTTTCTATTTTAGTTTTGCCATGAAAAAAGAATGTCTCAGTAGATGGATGGGCCCTCTGAATACCAAACCCAGGAGGCTCTTAGTAACTAGGTTCCACTCGACACCTGTCCTGAGGGCTCGAGATGAGCGTGCCCTCAGCCACCTCCTCTCTGTGTTGTTTCATTTCATCCCACGTTCCCGCTCTCCTTCCTAAATTGGGGTAACACTTAGGGGGTGGTTGTCTTTTTTTCTTTTTATAAGGACATACAGAAGGTTTTTATTTATTAATTTTTTAACTGAGGTCAAGTTCACAGAACAAAATTCATTTTGAAAGGGAACAGTTCAGTGGCATTTGGTGCATTCACAGTGTTGTACCAGCACCACCTTTATCTGGTTCTGAAATACTTCCACCACCCCAGAAGGAAACCCTGTCCCATTAAGCAGTTACTTCATATCCCCCCCCAACCAGCAGTCTGCTTTCTGTCTCTGGATTTGCCTGTTATGGAGATTCCATATACATGGAATCTGACCTGATGTGACCTTCTGCACCTAGGCACGATCGTCTTTTAATTTAGCTGTACGCCTTCCAGGACCCTTTCAAAACCATCTGCAGGCAGTAGTGTATGTGCGGGTGTTTGCTACAAGGTGGTGTTACAGTGCACGTGGGCTGTAGATGGAAATGAGCTACGCGGCCATGATTCTTAACCCCCTTTGGGTCAGAATTCTTTAGGAACAGGCTCATTGTTTCAAGTTAGTGGGCCTCGGGATGAGAGCTCCTGCTTCGAAACGCTTTCTCTCCTTGAGACGCAAGCTAGCCCAGTCGGCAGTACCTTGTCTTGTCCTCGTGACTGCTGGTCTTCTGGCTGCTAGCTTTTCTTTCCACATATTCTTCTTTTGAACAACCATCCGTGTACCTCTTCAAGTTCTAAGAGCTGTGAGTTCATTTTAAAGGTGGAACAGAAACTCCTACCAGCGGCACCAATATTGCACCTGGTCTTCTTTTATTTACAAATCAGTTCCTTTGACTTTAAGTTCC